TTCTTGGGTTCATATGTCAAAACCTATGGAGATATTTTTTCTTTCTTTTTACCTTTTACTATTGCTTTCTTCATGTTGGAGGTTATTCATGTCATTCCAATGGGAAAAATCCAGTTAATGGCAAAGGGTGCCTTGGAATACCCCTTTTCTAACTCAGTTGCCATTTTGATTAAATGTGTAGTGATGTATTTTGTACTGTGACACTGGGAACTAGTCTACACAGGTTGGTTTTTTTTAAGTAAACAAAATCTGAAACTTAAGCTCAGTAAAGCTTTGTGGTCATTTGTCATAGCTCTGCATATTTCCTGTTCTTAGTGTCTCAAACTAAGAAACAGGCAGTACTTGAGAGACAGGTTTAGGTATTTTTGGGTAGTAGGGCAGAGACTAGCATCATAAATCCTCACGAATTTAATTTCATGACATCCCACTCCACAGATTCCTAGCCTTTGCTGCCAGAAATAATCCTCTCTGACTAAGGCCAGATTTACTAAACATCTGGTGCAAGCCCTATTACTGCAAGTAACAACATGTTCTAATTTATGAAGATAATCGTGTATAGTGTGTTTTATATGGCTGGCGTAGCTTACTGTTTTTACAGGGTAAAAACATAGATTGTTCCCCAAGGAGATTGGTTGACTGTTTCTTCTGAAGTTAGACTTTAAAAACTAAGTATGTTCCTTGCATGGAAGCTTACTCTGTTATTACCTTGTGGTAGAGCTATTTGCAGCACATAATTTGAACCTTTTTCTCCATTTATGACATCTTACAATAGATTTTGGACCCTAGATTCCAAGCAGTTGTCAGGAGTACCTGAGTTAAACAGAGGTAACAGGTAACTTCCCCAAGCTGTGTATATAGCATTTTAAAAAAGCCTTGATCTGATGTCTTCTTGAAGCAGTTGCCCTGGCTGCCCTATCTCTCTTGAGAACTGTGGACTGGGAGGAACCCTCTTATTAATTTTAACAAAATTAATAATTTGGGATTTGCAGCTAGTTAAAGTTCTTCTTTCTAGGTCTGTCTGAAGATGCACTAAATGACTTCTCCCCCTTTTTGACTTCATTAAATTGTCAAGTTTAATTCTTGGTTTACCCTGTCATGCACAGTAATGCAGTATAACCCGTACTTGAACCCTTCCTTAGAGCTGGGAATCAAAACTCAGAGATGTGCTTACGTAGTACCCACTGCAGCGTGCAGGCAGCAGGCATTGTCATGCTGCACCAGTTCACTCTGTCGAAGTAGTGGAGTCAGAAGACTTGCGTTAATAGCCTATTGCTGTCTTTAGACCTGCTTAAATATTTCTGATTGTATGAAGAACTGTTTAAATGTTTCTGATTATCCAAGTGGAGATGGAAGCCCACCAAATGTGATCTTTCTCTTTGCCCAGTACATTTTATAGCAATTGGTGAACATCAGTGATCCTGTATGCTCCTGCTGCTTTCATCCTCGTTAACTGTCTCCCTCATTTTCAGTGACATGTATGCTTAGTGGTGATTTAGATCAGACAGATACATAGCATTATGGCAGATGGATTTTTTAGATTGTGAGATCTTATAGTAAGAAATAACCCCTTAAATCAGTGGTAGAGAGGATAACTGATTGGCCGTCTCCTCCCTGTTTATAACTGCTGGTAGTCTACATACAAGCAATTTGATAATAACTTTCCTACCCTTGAAAAATTCAGTGAATAAGTTTTGATGACACTGTAGCTGAAGTTAGAATTTTATTGTACTCCAAAGATGAAAAATTAATTTAATTTCTGTGTTTAAACACATAATATGTCTCAAGAAGTTTTGGGTGGACTCATGTTTATATTTGAACACACATATAAATGCACAGACAGCTATGTTCAGGATTTTCTGAATGCCTTTTCTGGTAATTCTGTTTCCTCTGTAATAAAGGGTATCAGAAAACAGTGTCGGTGGCTGTGCTTGTTCTAGAAATGTACTCAGGCTTTGAAATAAAGAAGTAATTCTTTGTCAGGTAAGGGAAATGGATATGGGAAGTGAAAAAGTGCTGTTTATTCTGGGATTTGTGAAACATCTGACGCAGACATCATCATGATCTTACTAACAGATTTATTTCAGTAATACATATAGTGTGAAAGTTCATGTAACTACAACTTACATGTTTAAAAATTAGACTTTCCCATTTTTTAGTAGTATGATGTTTAAGCAACGTTGCATATTGATGTCACTTGCTAATGGTGTAGTAGGTAATTGCATAATTCTTGATAATTCTAGAAAATGAACTGATAAATATTGTTGAACTGAAATATTTTTATCTGATGCATAGGGTGGTCATCAGTAGCATCTTGAAATGAAAAGCTGACATTTACAAATAAATTTGCTAAAATTTGATGTGTCTCTCCTCTCTTACTTTACAGCTAGCAGAATTGAGACAGAGATTGGATCATGCAGAGGCAGATAGACAAGAGCTTCAAGATGAACTGAGACAAGAACGAGAAGCAAGAGAAAAATTAGAGATGATGATAAAGGAATTGAAGCTACAGATCTTGAAATCTTCAAAAAACGGAAAAGGAAAATAGAAATTGGAAGAAGGAGTAAGACTGCGTCCTTCAAACAGGGTGTTTTGGTTTTTAATGAATTGTGAGCAGTTTCTGTGTGATAAGAAAAAGTATTCTCTACAGATTTCTATTTCTCAGACAAGTCCAGAAGAAGATATACATATATATATATAAATAAATAGGTACACATTTTTAGATTTTCCTAACCAATGAAAATCTGCATTTATTTCTACTGGTGTTTTTCTCAAGCAATGAAAAATACGAAACTCTTCATTTAGAGTGACCAGTTTCTGTCTATTTCTAATGCAGTCTTGAGGACTCTATATACCTTTTAACATTGTCTGTTAAAATCTATGTGGTGATCTTTATTTTGCTAGCAATTGCACATCCATTTATAAAAGTACATTTAAAAAAATTCTGAATACTTCAAGGTCAAAAATAGTTTGGGTTTCAGTGAGAATTATGTGTTCTTCAACTGGGGAGAGTAAAGTCAGGTTTTCGTCTGTAAAGTAACACTCAAAATTTGCCACAATGATAGATGATTGATCATCAGAAGTGATTTATCAGCGTGAATTTTACCCGTAATTTAATTGTGTGAAAGCTGATCTTTATTTTCTAATTTAACAACTTGTTATCAATCTAGAGAGTTTCAGAGCCAGCATTTGCTTGCAGTGCTGGAAGAAGAAAGCATTAGGGGTTTTTTTGTAAATTAAAAAATTTGCAATTACAATGGAATCTGGAAATCAAAAATTCATGTATTTTCTTTTGTTTTCTTCTGTGTAATAGATACGAAAGAAATGTTAAAAGGCTTAAAGGTGGGGCTCTTCCTTCTAGAAACTGAGAAAGCTCCACTTAAATGGTTTTCAGATAGTAATGCTTTCAAGAAAAATAATACTTACTAAAAATATGTATTAGTTTCTTTTGTACCCTCAACCTCCACACTTTGAGTTTCTTGCCAACGTGTGGATTTTTCTTTCATGACATAGAACAGGCCTTAACTGACATTGCGATAATAGCTTAAAAAATAAAATTCTGAAATACAGCACTTTGAAAATAATTCTGATAGTCTGTATTTGAACGGCATGGTAATGTTACCATGAATCAAGAAATACAGCATGTTTGTTAAGCTATAACATTTGAAAATGTGTAATTGTACAGAATTACTGTTTTATGTATATATAATATTTACTTGAGTACTTCCGAAGTCTGGTTCCTAGTGGATTAAAAGCATGACTACAAAGTTGGATGAAGAAACACTTTTTTGCACTTCTCTCCAAAAAGTATGGTACAGCTGACAGATGTTAGCTGATTATGTCAGTGACTAGGAATATTTTAGTAGCTCTAGTATTTCATTATATAATTCTAATTTGTGATTTAGCTTCTCTTTTTGAGGTTTATTATTCTCTTAATAATTCAGTTAATTCTGGATGGAACCACTAGTAACAGCCAACATTGATTATTTTTCCTTTCCTGAACTAGTAAAACTGAAAGCTTCTGAGTTTTTTGTTTCTCATTTAGTGGTATAACAGGACTGAATATCACAGAGAAAGATAAAATTGCACATATCTTTAAATCAAATGAGAAATTAGGTGGTAAATTAAATGTCATGGAGTCATGGGATGATTCTTTTATAGCTGTGTATAATTTTGTTTGTGGACTCTGTGTCATATATAGGCTGCTCATTATAGCAGTTTAGATTAAAAAATATTGAACTTTTTTGTCAGTGTTGATCAGAAAAGAGGACCCTGCTTTTTATTTTTCCTTCTTCAACTCTAAATTACTGCTTTAAAGAAAAAAGAAAACTAAAAAGCCTGTCTTTGCAGCATGGTGGTGGCTTGGAAGAAGAGATCCCGAGTATGGATGATTCTGGTTGCGTATGCACCGCTTGCTTTAAAAACGCAATGAATGTCTTTTTGTCACAACCACCAAAAACATTGTTGTAGGAAGAGTAGGCAGGAATGTTGATAAAAGCGTGGTTTTGAAGAAATGGAGCTGGAAATAGTCCAACTTGGTTGACAGAACGTATGTTGGGTTAGTTAGATGGGCAAGTAAGAAAACACCATCCTGGGAAACTGAAAAGTTTCATCAAGGTAGTATCAAGGGATCTAGAGATGTAATTTCTGGTTGCTTTTCAGTATCAGTGTTTTGAACCAGACTTGTTCAATTGTCAGTGTATATAAGGCCATACAGACTTCTTTAATACAGCTGCAGTAATTAATTTACCACAGTATTCATTGAATGTATGGAATCCTCATGGGATGACTATGTTAGAATACTGTATATTCTGTTTCCATTTAGGTCTTGCCCATCTTACGTGACTTCTGCTCAGATTTCCCCTTTTGCCACCGGTTGGCCTTCAGTGGTGGCATTTGCAGTGAAGTATGAGTATAGTCCAGGTTCCTATGCCTCTGCCAGCACTTCACCACCTCTCAGCCAGCAGATGAGAACTGGCAGATGCTGTAGAATATTAAAATGCTTGTGGCCGTAGTTTGTATGAATATTTTCACTGTGGAAAGAACTCAAGCAGTTATATGAACTTTTAGCAATTCCAGCGGCAGATAAGGCCTCCGAATCGTTTTAAAACATATGGCTGAAAAAGCTAATGGGGCATTTATTAAAATGACTATAAAAGTAGCTTTGTAAATATTGCATTTAGTTAATCTGAAGTTAGAATGCATTTTAAATTACTGTAATCCTCTTAAAATTCATAAATATTACTTTTGGGCTCTTAACATAAATAATTTTCATATGTGTAGACTTAATTTTATACTGATTTTAAGTAATAATGTATACATAAATGTGCCATAGATTTTGTGTGTTCACAGTCTTTGAAAGATAGTTTTTTAGTAAATTGTAAATACTACTGTATAAGTTCTACGACAAATACACGTTGACCTTTTTTCACTATCCTATACTAGTTACATTGAATTGTTTATTTTACGGCCTCATACAGGACTAGGAAGGCACACTTAAGGGCCCTCACTTAAGTGCACACTTAATGATAGAAATGAATTCTGTCACTGGGTCCTCACTTTTAGTCATAGCATGCTCATTTTATGTATTATTTGTTTTGCCTTCGGTTATTGCTTGCTGGTCTTTCAGACAGGACATCGTTTTACCAGATACTTTTGTGACATTAAGCCTTTAGGAAAAAAAATCCTAAAATTGTCCGTAATTTTGGAAATTGCATTATTAAACACCTCGACCAAGATCAGAGCTACCTAGAGCGCCTTTTGGAACAGAGCAGGACTCAAGGTGAATATCTAGTTTGCTCCTACATTTGTTTAGAAGAGAACTTTTACATGCTTTGTACACTAATGAACGAGAAAATATATGAGCTCAGAGAGTAAAACTCTTGTAATTTTGGCAGTCTGAAAGCACTCCTGTTCGCAGTGTAGCTGTGTATCCTGAGACGAAAGAGATTTTTATCTAAATCTCCAAACTTAACTAAGTCTGTGTTTTAGTTTTTGTAAAGCATATCGTTTAGCTTGAGTATTTAGATAAATGTAGTTATGTTTCACATTCTTAAACTAATTTTATTCTATATTTAATATATTAATAGCTTAGGTGTAAAATCATTTGTATATAGTAAAGGCATAATGCTATTAGTGGTAGGAAAATTTGAATGGGAGCATAAAGCTACTGGTGGCCTGAAAAAATAAGGCTTGGCCCATATTTTAGAAGTCACAACATTTTATTCATACATTCTTGTTTTCTATCGAGGGAGGGGATAGCTAGAATGTGTTATGACATTTTTGGAAAACTTTCCTAGCATTAGTCATGAAGTTGGCCTTGAAATGCTGTCACGGTCAGCTTTCTAGAAGTCACTTGTTTGTAGAGTATATATTTTGATTGTCAGTAAAGATAACAACTTTGTATTTTTTCTGCACTTAATTCATGTAAGTAATCCACAAAACAAGAGTTTTCTATAACGTGGCGGAGTCAGCAAAAGACGTAATTACACCTGCCTGTTAATCTGTGCTTGCAATACTTCAGTAGTTTATCTAAGCTGTCACTAGAAGCAGCAGAAAGCGGCAAATTTCAGTTTTCTTTTTGCTCATTACATTTGTAGTGAGAGTATTCACCAGTTTTCATTACAGAAAGCTTGTCCAATTTTCTATTTGTTGCATATTTCCATTTCAAAAAGACATCCTTTTTTAGCTTTTGTGAAAGCAGTTATTGCTTACAAATTGCATGACAATTTTGTGGTGTCTCCCCATTGCTTAGGAAATTGTTTTTTCTTCAGGGTTAGTGGTTCCCTTGAAAAATGAGTTTTAAGCACTTCATCAAGCACAGCAAACAGATGATATAAAATTTTGTTTGAAAATTGATTACATGTAACAATACCAATTGAATTTTTTTTCTTCAAATATAGATACCTCACTTAAAGGAAAGCACAGCTGTAATGTATTTAAACTAATTCTAGAAAATAACAAAAAGTTGGTCTGAAATACTTTGTTGCCTTTATGTTGCTTTCTGTGACTGATGAAATCTGTTTTTGTGTTTTCATACTCGCTCTCAGAAGTGTTTATTGATGTTCACATGCCAGTATAATTATCTTCAGAAATTACAGGAAGTAACTGCGAAACAACAGAGTCTGTGTTGGCTCAAGGCAACGGGTTGAGTGACTATTCTGAAACCAGAGTCAAAGCCTGTGAAAAATGATCAGTGCATTCAACAATTTTTAATACTTTGCCAATGATGTACAGTCTTATTGTTGGAGTTGCTGTGGTTGCATTACATGACACACAAAACTGTCCTCTACCTCACGTGAGATTTAACAAATATTTTATATGGTTTTAGTAAACAAGATGCATCTATCTGGTCACTTAGTTTACAAATTTTGAATTATATTTATTGAAACATGACATACTGTGCTCTTAGCTTATACCTCAATTGTATTTTGTGCTGTTATCCATTTTCATGCCCTGTAAATACCTGTATAGATTGTGGATTCAAAAACAAATAAAGAACTGTAATGTCAGAACACTTGGCTTTGTGGTATTTTTCAACACTGACTTCTAAACTTGCCTGTTTGGAAGGTGTTTAACAGTGGTGCTTTTCTGTGCAGGATAGAGTCTGATTACAGTAAATTAAAACCTGATTACATTGAAACTTCTTGGCACAACTCCCACTGCCTGCAGCAGGTCCCCAGTTTTCTAAAGGGCATTTTTAGCAAAATCTACAAGATCAGTAGCCTTCCCTCATGACAAGTCCATTTTTCTAAAGCTCTTGTGACTCTGTGAAGATACCGATGCTAAGATTTCTGTGTATCTTGACATA